CTATGAGCTGGTGGTGAATTCCGCATCCCATAAAGCTACAAGCTTTATATCATTATATAATAGAGTGCGTTCAGCATTATATCTTATGAAATAATTTTTTCTTTATTAAGTTCATTTGAATCGAAGAGAACAAACAGTCTATATTGTCTTGATTTTGCTCTTCTAAAAGCGTAATATTCTCTCTTCTGGCTGTTCTATTTATTCTTATTTTACTATACACATTGGAAACACTATAACTTATTACCAATTATATTGGCTGACATGCTTCATGGATTCTTTGAGTATATTATCAACATGTTTTTGCCATGCATAACTCTTTAGTCTTTTCGATAGTTCATTAGAGTGTGTTCATAGACTTTTCGTTTGTTTAAATCTTGTTACAGTAACTTAGTTTCTTACCCGATAATGTTCTTGTCTATCATTGTTTAGCATTACAGTTTGGAATATAATGTACTTTTATTCCATCACACAGTTCTATACTTACATGTCAAGCACAATTGTGATTACTGATTTTAAGAACCCTGCTTTACCATTATATCTTGTAGTATATTTATATGTGTTGTGTAATTAAGTAGTATAATTACAACTCTGTAAATATTAGTTGTAATACATATATATTGAATAAATAGAGAGTCAATCGAAGTCAGGCTGTCGTAAGTAAAAGACATATCGTTTACTTATTTATATTACTCACATGGTTGTATAAAATATAACAATATGTTACATATTATATTACATGTTACATATAATATTATATATCATATTATATATTATATATAATATTATATATCATATTAAATATTATATTATATATGTTATATATTTATTGCAACATATATATATAGCTTGTAAGAGTTTAGTATAAACGCAAGTTGGGTTTTTGAGCTGCTCTACCTATTTTAATAGCAATAACGCTAGTTTAAAGGGAGGTCAAGATTCAACTAGGATCGTTGCGTCATTAATGATGATACTTAGTTTAATAGTTCATAATAGTTGACTTTTATTCAATCATAAAAGCCTGTGGTTCATGTTTAGGTATAATTTGCTGTCAGTTGTTGTATTCCATTATTGTGGTTTTATATATATTCAGACTATATATAATATTATATATTTAATTGAAAATATAAACTAGTAATAATAAAAATAGTAATATTTATAATATAATAAATTATAATGCACTATAGTCAACAGTCCTGATTTTATGTACATATATGAAAATGTTTTGCTATCTACTCGTACTTCGAAGAAACAAATTATTTTCGAATAGACGAAAAATGCATTAAAATCATGAAATAATAATGATAAAAGGATAATGGAATACAACAACTGACAGTGAATATAACAAATTATACCTAAACATGAAAATACACCAACATAAAATATAAAAAACAAATGATATTGATTACGAGTATCTAATAAAGTTGAGAAAATAAATGAAAGACTCTCAAACAAAGCACTGGTGGAGGAACTGTGGAGCTGGCCACAAAAAAAAAAAAATATCACATTTCACGCTCAATAACAGAAACGACAACGCAGCATTATTTCAGCGAATTAAAAGTATTATTGTCCGTCCGTCTATCTGCTATGCAATGTATTTTACAATGTATTTCACGCATGCCAAATCGTCACGGTGTAGTACGGCAAGTGCGACCATTCTCAGGAATACAAAGAGTAACTGCAGCATCCTCAGTGCAAGGCAGATACACAGACGGGCAGGCAGGCAGGCAGGCTAGCAATCTTTTTGACTCATGTGAAACATCAGGTGAAGCTGATTATGCGCCCAACCATGAGGCAGCATAATAGTTGCATAGTTACTTAACGGCTATAAAGGAGTGCGGGTGTAATGCAAACATAAAAACTGCACGTGACCAGCGCCAGTAAATAACTGGTGGCATTTCATGCCAGATACGGCACGTTTAATTCCGAAACCAAGCGGTAAGGCATACCAAACACATTTGACAAATTATGTGCCCATACAGCGCACATGCCAGCATCATCACTCCCACTCCCAATCCCACTTGCTTCTGCTACTTACAATTTGGCTTCCAGTTTTCTTTAGTAGGAATTTTCAATTACGACTCCTTTTGGATGTGTGCCGCAAATACTCGGTTTTTGAACCTTTGTACAAATAATGCGGCCTCAAGAAACTTTTCATGCAAACCAAAAGTCAATCGAAACGGGGAGTTCACCAGCGGTAAATACTTTTGCAAATCCAGTACTTAGAAGTCACGTGTGGCTTTAGTTTGTCTGTTAAACCAAATTTTTATTTTTATTTTTATTTAAATTTTAATTTTCATTTAAATATTTTTTTCCATTTTTAAAACGACATTTGTTGACATTTGTTGTGTTCGCTTGTGTCAAAGTTTTGTTTTACAATTCATAGCTCGAAGCGTTAAAAACTTTTATTATCCTGTGAGTGACATTTATACGTATTACCAACCGAAGTTTTTTTGTTGCCTTGTATTTCAGTTGACAAAAGGCTTTTTGTCAACCAACTTGCTTCCTTAAAAATTTGTGGTTTTAATTGTTTTCTAATGACATCAAAATTAGTTGGTATGAATATCCTTTTGTTTAATCCTTCGGGCAACGTTTCACTTTTGTAAAATTTGTCTGTGACAATAGTTTTTTGATCCTTTGTCTTAGTAGGGATTAATTTCAATAGCAGATTGTCGTTTATATTTTTGTACCTTTTAAATTCAACAAGAACTTAAATTATTTGAATTACTTCAATCGAAACAAGAATACATACATACATACAGGGGCTAAATTTCAATAAAATAATTAAAATTTTTGTTCTTGTTGTTGAATTACTGTGCGAGCCCTTCTATTTTAAAGATACATACATTTAATAAAAATAAATTAAAATTATGTGCAAGTTAATATAAGTTTTTATAATTCAATTACCTATAAATATTTTTTTTTTTTGAAATATAATACTAATAAAATATATATACATTATTGGTAGTTATTTTGTACATTATCCTCATGATTGAGGTGTCTATATATGGTAACTTGAAAGGAAATCAGTCCTCATAAGCACTAGTATCCTAGTATAACTTTTTTTATAATTGGTACTAATCAACAGAAAGCATTCAGCTCGTCTAATGAAGAATATCACGGGTGGAGGGATTATGTCAATATAAAACAATTTATATGTCAAATCATATAAAACACCTGTTAATTTCGGGGTAAGCATGCTACTCTGTTAAAATATCTAGATTGTTATAAATTACTCTCAAGTGTTATACATTAATCTCAAGTGTTATACAGATTTATCAATCGAAAGTCAAAAATGCACTAACTGAATCTTGAATAAAAAAGTTACCCCAGACTTACCACTAGAAAACGCCATAGATATTTCCTTTTGATATATAATTTAAACAAATATCTTTAATTAAAAATGAAGACGGCTTACCAAAAAAAAGACTCAATACTAAAATTTATTCGAAAAAATTCTTTAGAGCCGAAGAAACACTTTGAATCCATGAACGGGATACAATAAATCTGCAGGTCATAGTGCAAAACCTCATGACTTAAATCGGCAAAATCGGTATAATCTAAAAATCAAAAGTATAGTAGTTCATTGAAATACTTAAGCAGTACGTTCAAGAGGGTGATACTTACATTGCTACTTAACTATTTGTACAGATACAGTTGTAGGCGCCCTTACAAATACATAAGATTAATCATAGACTTCCAAAACCAGAAAAATGTAAAGCCACACTGGTTCGTGCAGATTGAATACCATAGATAGCACCCAGCATACCTATAGTTTATATGGTTTGGGCTTGTAAGTAGTTCCTATGAAGAATAGCAGTTTATCGAAAGCCTTGATGAGTACTTCTAGCAGTGTAATTATTTAATAGATATTTAACTACTTACATAGATACATGGTGTCCCTACAAATATATATACATAAAATGTATATAGTATCAGAAGCATCGTGTAGATGAATTAAATCTACAATTGGGTTTCAATTTAGAGAATTGTAAAGCTGAACCGGTCCTTTTGAAGTTCAATGCAAATTGAATACCATCGATGACCAAGCAGGCAGCAAAACTACCCAATTTTGTAGGTGTCTAGTAGGTACTGAGTGTTATAGTAGTTAACTGAGCGCCTTGAGGATACTTTCAAGAAGTCAATGCTTTGATTGCTGCTTTAGCTACCAGTATAGATACATATGTAATTTTGTCCTTATAAATATATATATATTTATACATTATATATATTTGTGTATGTATATATATTTTTTTTTCAATTTTGAATGTGTTTCTCTACCTGTTGCTCTTAGCAACGTTTTTTTATATATTTTATCTTCGGCTACAGGTCACCTTTTTTAAATTAAATGTTTGTTTAATATTTTTTTATAATATATTCTATATTTCGATTTTCCTTGAGAGTCATCACCAGGATAAGAACTCTGCAATAAATAAACATTAATAAATATTAATAAAATATAATGTGTATTAATTCGTCATGTTATTAGTTCTGTTGTCCATATTGCATTCCATAATATTTTTTCTATGTCAGTTATTATCAGCTTCCTTATAAAAATTTCTTTCTGGTAAGAAATAAGAGTATTATTCAAAAAAAAAAAAATACAATTTTTTTATTTTAAAAGATCAAAATTTAATTTTATTAGCCTTTAAAATGAATCTGTTTTTGTTTTTTAATTTATATATTAACAAACGTATTACTAGTAAATATTAAAATGTTTAACTTTAAGTTAAAATTTAAGCAAAATAATACATTTTATGTTTTGAATATATATATAAAATATTTTGTTTTTTTTTTTCTGCATATTATATTGCACCAATAATAATTTATTAAATTAATATTATTTTTTTTAATTTAGTATTGACATACCAAATAACACCAAATCATTTTCCATGCATCAAATGCCTATAGATATATTATCGTATACCTTCATGTACTTCTAAAGTCAAAAATTACAATTTTAAAATGCAATATTAGTAATATTATTTCAATATTACTTAATTATTAATAAATTTTAATATGAAAAAAACCAAGGTAATGCCCGTGATCTTAAATCAAAATTTGAAGAAGTTAGAATTAATTACTTCTTGACATTCCGTTTAATTTTTTTATATCATATGAATTATTATTTATTTATGTCTGAATTTTCTTATAACATTTTGTTTAAATTTTTTTTTTTTGTTGTATATTTTTGTATCTCATTTGATCCTTTACTTATGTTATTACTAGCGATATAAGGATTATGGTTTTTTTTTTTGTGTATTTCATATGAGTATTTTTCATATCAGAATAAAAATCTCAATTTTTTGCTATTAATAATTTGAAGTTTTTTGTGTCTTTTCGCACATCTTTTACAGTTTTTGTTGGCATTTATATTTTTTAATCTTTTTTTCACATTTAATCTTACTCATGTTCAGATTACTTGCATCTGGCTTGTATGCAACGGCTTTTAACAGCCACGCTGGCGCGTATACTCTTATATATCCTTATCAAAATATCCTGCTAACTAAATCTTCATTGTTAGTAAACAATTAGAAAAAAAGGAAAAAAAATTATTAAAAAAAAAAAAATTTGTTATCTAAAAAACAAACATTGAACAGCACCTTCAGTTACACTCCACACATTGTTCGGCTAATTTTCTTTAGTATTTTTTGAATTTTTTCATATTTTTTTTTTAAAGAAATATTTTGGTTTTATAGAACTTCTTTAATTTTACAATTTTTCAAATGCATTTGCATTGGTCAGCATTTCGCGTGTTAAACGCCAAACTTGCTTCGCAGCCTGTTCCAGTGCGCTTGGAGATTTACCTTTAAACATATCTAAACTTGGCAGAAAATAGTGTGGACAACGACGGTATTGTAAACATGAGATTAATTGCAAGAAGATGCCATTAAGACGATCAGCTATGGATGCCTCTTCCCATTCATAGTCACGCGGATGTTTCTCACATTCATAAAGCAAGAGATTCTTCAAGTGATAAGCTGTGATTGGATTGCCGGGCAGATCAAGGTGACGATCTCTAAGTGTCTTTAAAATACTTAAACAACGACGCCGGCAGCCACCTTAAGCACAAAAATAATGAAAGTGCTAATGCCACATTTAGGGAAATAAACAAACAATTTGCACTTACCTTGCAACAAACGATTTTCAGCTTCAAAGAAACTCAATACCCAAGCATCGCCCTCCATGCTGGCTGCATTATTATTCTTATTTTGCAAAATGATGCTCTCCTTCGACAATAGATCGAATCCTTCTGTCTTCACTTCGGCAACAATATTTGGATGTGGCCATGGTATGTGCGGCAGTGGCCAATGCGCAGCTGAACGTGGCCAGATGCCTGAACATTTGAACGCTGGCGTTATTTGTACCACGAAACGTTCACGTACGCGCAATTTAACTTCTGTCGTGTCACCGATCATCTTCACCATGTCACGGTAAATGCTTTTATCGCAAGCTTGTGCCACCAGCGTTTGGAAACGTGCACGGATCTTACGTGATGACAAATATCCCGATGCTGTAATGAATTCCACCCAAAGTGACATTGAACGTTTACGTCCGTCGCTTAACTTAAGTACGGCACAACCGGGCATCGTGCCATCATCAACAAAATTAAAAACGCCCATCTGATTTAAATACAAAACAATTTCAATCTCGTTCGGCGAAACAACCTCAACACCTTCGAATCTGTAAGAGAAGTTGAACAAAAGTTAATAATCACTGTCGGGAAGCAAATGCAATTGTACGAGTATTTAATGCTGTCTTCTTAAGAGGATTAAGAGTTTTATGCATATGAAAGACTCTACTAAGTTCATTAATGCTTCTACTAATCAAAGAAAAAAAGATTGATACTTGCAGTTCATTAAAACCACAGCAATTATGGGCAACACGTAATTCAAGTAGCACTTGAGGTACGATTTGAGTGCCATTTGACAGACAGACGAACAGACTCAAATGTGCCCTACAGGCTTTAGATGTTGCTTAATATCTAAATATCTGACATATGCGGGCATGTAAATAGTTTTAAAGCACTTTATCTGCCTCAACACCTTCCACATTGTTAATTTGTTAAACTCAGTATCCGTAACCGCACTTAAATTTTTTCATTTACATTTTTTCTTTGCATTTTCTTGGCTTGCGAGTTTGTGATTCCTCAGTTCGGTATTCAAACCTCGTTTTATATTGATTTACAACAGCTCTTCTGGTTACAATGTATTTCTTCAGTATTGGTTTTACTTTCTAGTAGTATAAGTTTTAAATTTACATCAAGGTATAGGGTTTCAGTTTTCCAAAGTTTTTATTAGACTTTTTTCGTTATGACAAATCTCAATTAAAGTATCACATTAGTACGATTAAGTTATGATCTGCTATTCTAAGAAATAAAGTTTATATTATATACCATAGAGTTCCTTTTATATCCATATATGTTTACTTATTTCTAGACAGATAAAGTATCATACCTAATGAATAAATTCACATATTTTATTAATTATAATAATAACTACTGCTATTATAATAGTGAATGCTCATTACTAAAGTAATGAAGAATAAAAGCGGGTGTTCCTCAAGGATCCCCGCTCTCACCCTTGTTCTACAACATCTACACGTCTGACATCCCAAAGCTAAGTCCTTCGGTATTATCGGGTCTATTACCTTAGAATAGACCCGATCAAAAAATACATAAGGGACAGAGCCCTGAAGGTATATGCGAAAATTGATAGGCTATCCTACTTACCACTATCTAATCTTAGAGCAATCAGTCTCCGCACGGGGAGGTACGCAAACCTTAGATCAATCACTGAATAATTATGAAGTTTATGAGTGATATACAATTTAGTCAATGAGATGGGTGGGACTCTGTAGTACCCCCAGCTATCAAAGAGTAAAAGTACCCAGTTGCGCTGACTCGAAAAAAAGGATCAAAATACATACTAAAGTTAATTGACTTACAGTTAAATTAGCATACAAAGAAGATGGGAACTTACTCTCATGGAACTTGGAAGTTGTGAAAGAAACAGAAGTTCTTTAAGCCGAGTACTTTGAGTTTGCTCAGCACGAATACATAAACAAAGAAATTACCTAGAAAGGAATCTTATATTGGATGAAGAAATAAGACTCGCTGCACTAAGTTTAATTCAACAATTTATCGAGAAAATCGAACTAAAAGAAATAGTCTGAATTCATGAAGTGAGATCTCTAGTGAGATCTCTAGATCATAGTATAATAGTCATAATATATTTTTAATAATAATAGTTTTGAAATGAAACAAGAAGATAGATAATAATTGGAAACTGGCTTCTACATTCACTTTATATTCTATATATTAAGCACATGTTTATGCAGAGTCTTCATACATTTGGAAAAAATAGAACAGTTTAATCAATTCTACAATTTATCGAAAAAAGAGACAGAAAAGAACTTTCGCTTGCAGACCAAAATTCTTCAACTTAATAACAATAATTATAAGGAATTAGAAATTAAAGAACTGAATAGAGGAACATCAAATATAGGGACTAGAAGCTGAAAGTTATAATCATTATGTATTTAGTATATCAATACCACCGTCGTAGTACATTTGGTGAAGAGGAGAAGTTTTGATCAGTACTATAATTTTTTGAGAAGAGAGGCACAATATATTTCTAGGTATATATTCCGAATTTAATGCACATGTTATACCTACGTCGTGAAGAGAAGAAGTTTTAATCACTACTATAATTTATCAGGAAAGGAGGCACAATACATCTCTAGAGATATATATTCCGTATATAATGTACATGTTGGGTCTGCATTGGAGTAGATTCAAAAGTTGGTCAATAAAGTCTGTTATCGATACTAAGAGTATAAGAACGCAAATTGTAATATCAATTACGTAAAGAAATATCAATAAACCATAGAGTTTAAATGCAAAGAATCCAATTTTGGAAAACCAAAATATGATTGTAAAGTATACGCTATGAAGAGTTTAACCCTTAATATTTAACAGTAATAAACTTTTCAGATAAGTTTGCTTATCTAAAGAAATTTATAGAAAAGTTCCACTTCAAATTTATATCATGGACCTCTATCCGATTCGCATCTTTCTCATAGAAATCTATTGGGACGCACTATTAATATGAGAAAGTTAATTACCTTAGAAATGAAATGGCAGACACTTATGGTATAATGGTAAAAACGAGGCGAAATAAAATTAAATTAACCATAAAAGGGTGAACCTAAAAGTTGAAATTTTAAAAAACAAAGAATCCATCGATTAAAGTGGTTTCGATATGTAATTAAAATTTTAAGTTGAAGAATACGGATTGTTTCGCTATATTAATCGATTATAAGGATTATTGAAAACTGTTCTTTCATTAAAAAAGAACTGTAGGGAGACAATGTCTTCAGGAATTTGGGAATAAGTAAAATTCATAATTATCTGAATCTTCGAATTTCACTAAGTAATTTTCAACTTTCTTGTCCAGGTTCGATCTTTTTTTCTTAAAAATTAAAAAAGGTCGACCTACGGTTTTTTTAACCAAAAGTTTAAGATTTGTAAAGATATTGTAAACGATTCGTGTGGTTGTTGTAATTAGATTTATATTATTATAATTTTTATATCTTTTTATCTCTTAATAAGATTCACTATAGAGACGTCTTATCCAGCATATTAGTATAAAAATTGGACACCAATAATTTACAATTTGATTAAATAATATTTTTTAAAGTACGTAAAAATAAAAATTTTTAATATTATATTCAGTGGATCTCTATATACTGAAACTTTTGGATTTTACTAAGATTTTAGTAACTAATATGGTAATATCGCAATTATAATCATAATACTTTTATAGTTATGATAGTTATAATTATTAGAGACCAAAATTCACTGCGACCTAAATAGATCTATTTACGATGGTTAAGTATTACATATTATAAATATTATAATTAATACAATCGGTCTTTAGCATGATTCATAATTAACCTATACTTTTCTGGATTGTGAATCAAAATAAATATTGGGTTTCCATTCTTATATCTCAGTTAGAATTGTTTTCTATTCGATTTTTTTTCAATCGAATAGACAAACTAATCGAATCCTTCGATCTTATTAAAAAATCTTGGAGTAAATATGTATGATACACATTTTTCCAAGTGTATATATAATTATGTGGACAAGTATATAGATATAAAAGTACATATATATTATAAATACATGAGTTTATATATAAATGCACACAAGTATATATATATATATATATTATATGTACTCATATATTATTATTACCAAGACATTTTTACAAATTGAAGTAGTTATTATATAGTCATTATAGTTATTGTAGTTATATAGTCAAAAATAATATATATGGATTATCGAATAATTACTAATTATCTCTGTTCTGTGATATTGCTCGTCACTCGTTAGTTGCTCTACTCTTTCTTTAGAAACTATTCTTAGTACACCTCTGAACTACATAAATTAGGGAATATTGAGTTAGGTGATATGTAGTAATATATTTATAATATATGATCCAGTCATTCATATATGCTAAGGTCACATATAGTATATACAAAAGTCAAATATTTCTTATTATCAATATTTAATATAAAGCTATGATTCTTAGTCAGCGGTTTGTAAATGCTTAGCATTTATCTATAATCGTAATTGTTGCATAAGGACTCATATATATAACATAAGTCTAATTTTATATAAGCGTCCAAAACTAGATTTCTTTGTTATAACTTAAACATTTGTTCTACGTCAAAATATGCTTTGCTGACCAATAGTCGCCCTTGATTTTCAGATTCTATACTCTACAATGATTTTTGCTAAAAATTGTACCATATTTTGTATAATTTACCTGCCATTACACTCCACTAAACTGGATATAAATCGGGGTTCTTGCAATTCGACTTCCTTGAGTATGTCCTGGACTATTTTGCATATCTCACGTATGGCGGTGGCCGTTTTGAACATACGCGCTTGCACACGTTCCGCACAGTAGCGATTCATTTGGAAAATCATGCGCGCTTGAGCGGCCATCATATCCGCCGGTACCAACATGGCGGTAAAGTGCTTTCACAGGATCAATATATCAAGTGTCAAATGTGTTAATTAAATTTGATGCGCGACGCAGTGCATAAACCGGACGAAAAATAAACTAGCATTAATAGAACAATTGAATTGTCGGAAAATGTTTCGTTTCGTTCACAAATGCAGCGCGGAAGCACAAAAGCACAGACGCATTGAGCCAGTGAAGCACTTCAATGTGTGCTACTAAGTGGCACTATCTTTTTGGCGTATCTCAACAATAACAATAGCAATGACTTTTTTTTACATTTCACAATTGCTTTGAACTTTTCTTATCTTGAACATTTTTTTGTATTTAAATTTTTTTCTATTTTTTTGTTTTTTTTTTTTGCACAAGACACTGAAATTATTGTTTGTCCGCAAAAATGTTTTGAATGCCGTGCGTCAATTGGGAATAGAATTGCAACCAACACAGTTTCGATATCTTATGGCGGCGTGCAATTGCGCTGGTAGCCGGAGTGACGCTGGCAGCGATAACAACACCGACAATACCGCGGAAGAAAAAAGAAACTGCAACGAAGCGCACGGATACGCTAACGAATTGCAATTCAATTCGCTGCTAAAAAATGCGAGTAATTCGCGTTGTAAATCTCGCGAATATTTACGATGCTTTGGTTGCAGATAGAATACAGTAACGAGCAAATATGCGCATATCGTTGTATCTGTGGCAAGTCACTCAGTTATGCTTGCATACAGTTAACTTATCTACAGTACATATGAACACATGAATTTGTATCTAACAGATGTATCTTTATCTGCAGCTGTAATTCACACATAAACGAGCAAACAAAGCATGCATCTAAAAAGTCGTGACAAAAAAAATACCAACAGAAAAAAAAAAAGATCGATTTGCGGGAAAATCATGAATGAAACTTGCACCCACACGCGTCAAACAAATCCTGCATCGAGTGTAGAGAGGCTACGACTCTGGGTGCGTTATTCCACAAAATGCCGTCGGTTGTGTGTCCCGTGTGTCCCGTGTGTATAAGCACGCACATAAAAATCGATCGATTTATAAGATACTTTATGTATCTGTAAGATATTTTAAATGCCAAAATCTGCCAAAATATAAACATTAAACAAGCTAACAAGCTTCTCCCTCGCAGTTGCTACTAAAAGATTTTATCTGTTTTTCTTATTTGCAGTTATACAGTCCCAGTCAATGTTTGTGTACTTGTGTGTATCTGTGTGAACTACTGCGAAATTCGCAGTAGTGTGCGTTAGTATCTGTGTGTTAACTGGCAAAAGTGTGCGAGTATACTGTTGTATTTAGCTCCGCCCAGTATAAATGTCTGTCTGTTGAGTATCTGAACCGTAGCAGCCATCGCTGCTACAATCCATCGTTGTATGGATAGTACTCTCAGTTGCTCTTTTGAAGTTTGCTAAAGTTTTTTTCATTTGTTTTTTTTTTGTTGAAATATTGCTTGAAAAGGAAACTTTTGTCAGTTTTTTGTTTGCATTTTGTTTGTTTATAGATTTTTTTTGTAAGTAAATTTAATTTGTTAATTTTGCTCGTATCTCCTCGTTTCGAAACTCTTGTGTGCAATAATTTATCTGGGATGTGTGTGCATTTATTTAAAATGTATCCCTTCGCTGCGTATCTGCAGTTTTATATTTCACCTCACATAAATATGTCGCAGTGGATTAATGCGCCAGTTGGTACTTTTTGACAGCGACTTTTGTCTGTTCTATTGGAAATTCTATAATGGAATTTGGAGTTTGGCCGTACGTTCATATTTATGACATTGTCATCAGAATAAAAAATCATTTTTTTATATAAAAATGTTTTAAAAATATTTGTCTAATTTTATTTAATTATATCAATAATATATTCGCTTGAAAATCAACAATATCAACTGTGTATCAAGAGTTATTTTGATGATTGAAGTAAATTATTGCTGAACTAGTGAGAAGTCAAGAAATATATTGGAATAATTAAATTCATAATTTTTAAATGCCATTTAGTTAAATTTTTTTTTTAAATAAGATTAGACGTTTGTCAAGAAGTGTGTGTAATTAAATTTTACTACAGTTCCATGATACCTTTAGATCTGTTACCTTTGATTTCATAGTAAACTAGACGTTAATTAAAAATACAATTAATCTTATTAAATATATAATTATTTTAATATAAATTAATTACACTGTGAAAAGAAAATCAAGTTTTTTTTCTCTTTATAGTAGTTTTAATAGTTTTTGAGTTGATAGTAGGCGAATGAGATCAAAACTGGAAATCTTTTTTCTTGTAGACTTCCGGGTCTATAGCAATAACAATTTAAAAGGATTAGAGTGGTTTTGGGTTTTAAAAGGTTAATAGAAAATTTTATTTTAAGAGATATGAACTTCATGCCTTTGGCAATCTCACTACGTATAAATAGATAAATATTTTTATTTAAGACAATCTTTCCCAAGCTTTTCTAAAAACTTTGCTGTACAAATTAATTGTTATAAAAAATATTTTAAAAATGCATCATTTTAAAAGAACAAAGAAAAAATTTGGTGAACGAAAGTTATCTATTTATGTGTAGAGATAAGAAAGGTTTATAGATTTGAGCTCAGTAGCTTTAAATTGAACTGAAACCGTTTATTCTTTCAGACCATTATTTGCAGTATATATTCCAATTTTAATACAATATATATAATACAATAAATTCTTCTCAACAAAGGGAACATAATTAATTAAAACTGTAATACATATATGTAAGATAGATTTATTTGTATAAGGAAAATATAATTTATAATCCAAAATAATAAACTAAATATAATTAAATGTAATAAAATTCATAAACTCAGGGGACCGACTGCCACCGCACTATTTCTACCACTGTTAATTTACGATTTCTTCTTTACGGCCGCGACTTTACGACTGCTACTTTACGACCTCTGAATTCGACTGACAAACATCAACTCTCGACTTTACCTCGTTCCTTTTTACATTACTTTTATAACTGGCGTTGCCACCTTTACATATATGTAAATATATATCTTTTATAATTCAATTTGATTGCAATCATTCATTGGTATTATGATCTGGAAGTCTCCAATTCTGGAATATCAAATCCAAGTTGGTACGAAGCTGTAAGAATATCATATCTGAGTTGATTACTACGAACAAAGTAACATTTGTTTGAAAACCTATACTTCTCTGAAACGAAAACGTAACAAATGTCATGCTTGCGAGAGATAATATGAAAAGTTTCTATAGGAACTTAGGACCTAAATTTTATTGCAGGATATACACTTGTCTGACTACATTAGGACACAATATCCTCGAATTTAACGAAAGCAATTCAAATAGCTGATTCGAATCAACAACAATAGTATTAACAGATTTTTAAGTCATCAACTTAGATTATTTATAGTTTTTTAATTGAACATGCTCTTGTTAACCACCTTTCACCTACCCACCTACCCACCTATCACTTTAATCTTTCAAAGATTAAAGGGATTAAAGGGCACCAACCCGTCCAGAATTTGTGAAATGCAAAATAAAACAACGAGTATAGCTCACCTTATCTGATCGTACCCTGCGTTAATTAGGAAATGAGATAGGTGCAAACATATAGCTTCCACGCTCTCAAAACAATACAATTCTTCTGCTTGATAATATTATCTATAGATAATAAAGTACAACAACGTTTCCAAAAACTTTTTTTTTCTAGTATAACTAGTCCCTTGGTGCAATCCTAGCTACATCATTGCGTTTGTGAATAGATTTAGAAGATTTTTACTTTAAAATAACACAATAGTGACCAATGGTGTCAGTTTCCCAAGTATAGTCTTATTTCTTATAGTAAGTTCAGAAATAATTTATAAAATAAAAAAAAAATTTAGTATTTATGATTAAATACAGGGCTATCGTTTATATCTCCGCTTGAAAGATGGTTACTTGCCTTCTCAGGATTACAAATTCTTTCTTATCAAAGTTAGCAAGAGTAGGAGAGAATCTTTTTGTAAAGTACGTGAATACGTGAAAAAAGTTATAACTTATGGTACTATAAATAATAAGGTAAGCTTACTTTGAAGTTATTGGAGAGCGGTCTAGTATTCATAGGCATGACCGTCTAGACGTAAACGTAAGTTTTCTAACACGAAAATTAACGTGAATAATTCATTTCTTAACATATTTATGTTATATAGGCTATACATACGATTTAATGAGTTCTTTCCTGTAAATCATACTTAGTAATATCTGAAAGAAGTAACTAAAAGGGCCTTTCATTCTATTCTGAAAACTTTTGTAGAAACTGACTAATTAAAAATGGTCCAGACCGAACAAAACAGATCTGATTATTTACATATTTGAACTTATAATACATAACAGTAAAACACATTTATAATTTATGAAACATTTTATATTAAACTAAATTCATAATAATAAAAGCAAGTTCAGTATTCTACTTTTTTTGATATACATATGGGTGTTTTGTCATTAAAAGAGGCAATCCCTTTATAGCTCTGAACCGGTATAGCTAACTATAATTTCAAAGACATGATTTTGAATAGGGCGAAAACAACCTTACCGACTTTTGGTGATCCCAAAGAGAGATGTGTCAATCAAGAAAGCTAAACAACCCTAAACAAATTAATATGGAAATTATTTTAAACTTCAGATACAAAAAACTACATTAATGATAGATCACTTTTATTTCAAATCTCAAAAATATATATTTATTTGAAAATGCCTGCTTTGGATTTTGTTATAATAGAAACTGTAGAACAATTGGTTTTACTCTCCAAGTGTTAGCTATAATTAAGGCCTCAACAATTGCCATAATTTTCCGTAGTCTAGTTCTGAATTAATTAATAGAAGGCGATGCAAATGATCTCCTTAAGCAATATACACATAAATTAAATTAAAATAATAATAAAAATAATAATAATAGTCTTTCGTTTCGGTATTTAGCGTACTTTTATATTTTTAATAGTAATATTTTAGTGCGGTATTCCAAGATTGTATTGCCTGCCGGCTGTGAAACCAATGGTATTAACTCATTTAGTTCAGTCTGGCGGGTCAAAAGTGTGTTTTAAAATAAAATCTTAATAAAATTGTATAAAACATGTTAATTTTAGGTTTATAATTTATATCATTTCAATCTTTAAACGCCTTCATAGTGAGACTTTGCACGTGAGTCAACGGCGAAGTAAAACAAATTATGGGGCACTTCAAAAAAAGTGGCAAGTATTAACCAAACAAGCACTTAAGTAATTAAAAGAAAAGCAAACAATTATTTAAATCTAATAGGAGACATGCAAAAACTCAACTAAACAGACGACAGTGTTTACATTAATATTTCAAAAATATTTCATTTTTAATTTTTTTCAAACAAAATATAATTTTAATGAATTCAGAAGTAAGAAAAGATCAAAAGATTTTTTATGGGCCAAGCAAATTAAATACAACAGCCATACGAACAAGTTCACCTTACAGCCAGTGAAATTTATTAGAAATAAACTGTAAAAAAGTGTTTTTCGATCAGATACATTTGTGTTCTCTATTTAACGTCCAATGAAATTGGTTTTTATATATTTTGTAATCTAGCTGTAGGTAATTTTTTGTTAAATGATTCAATGTTTGCTTAATATTTTTTATTTATATTTGGACTCTCCTTAAGAGTCATCATCAGGATCACGATCTACAAGAGAATTCTAACATAAATTAATATTACTTAAACTATATCAACGTCATTTTCTTTATTCTATTGTCTATTTTATATACCATAAAATTTTTATGAAGAAATATATTTATTATTACCCTATATATACGGTATCACAATGGACCAATAGATCTAAGTGGATCCACTAGGGATCATCAGTATAACCTAATCTAACCTATATTTATTATTTGTAATTATTATTATTTTTATTTTCTATATAAGCTCTAGATTTGTTTATTTATTTGAGATTTGTTTTATTATAATAAACAAAAAAGTTTGGAGACATTTACAGTAAATAAATATAATAATAAATTATAATAATAAACTAATTATTAATTAATAAATAAATAATAAGA